TAATCTATAGATTATACAGAATCTATAGGTTTTGATTAACATTTTCCTGATGATTAATGATGTTGACATCTTTTCATTGTACCTGTTAGCCATTGGTATGTCTTACTTGGAAGGCATGTCTGTGTCAGACAGAGCTAAAATTCAGGGTCTTTGTGTTTTGTTTTGTTTTGTTCCCCGAGCTTTTATACACCTGTATGCAGTTCTGGGCATTGATGTAACCTTATTCTAGATAGGAGATGCTAATAATTTAGATGAGGCTGTGGTGATGAAGAGTAGAAATCTAGACTCTCTTAAGAGGTAGAATTAACTACCTGTTAGATATGTAGTTAGATACATACTTTATCTCAAAGGAGGAGGATTTTTTGCTTGCTTAAAAATTCCAGTAGTGGGCCCCCTGGTGGCGCAGGGGTTAAAGACAGCACTATCAAACTCACCAGCCACTGCAGCACAAGTTTGATCCCCAGCCAGGGAACAACCTACATGGCTCAGCTGACCTCTCCTGTCTCACCTGCTGCTCCCCTCAGCAGTGTATTTTGGTAGATCTGCCTGTTCTGCTCCCCACTCTCTCTGGTGAATCTTCTTACCCCTCTCACCCTCACACTTCTGGCTTACACCCCAGTTCTTGTATGCACAAATAAATCAATCTTTTAAAAAAATTCCAGTAGTGAATAATTTAACCTTTATAAAACCTGTGAAGATTTTTCATATTTGTTAATTTACTTCACTTTTAACTCTATAACATACCTTAGTTTAATTCTAAGACAATCTATTCAGAAAAGCAAATTGAAAAAGGAAGTTACTATTTTTTTTTCTAATAAGAGATTGTTCTTCCTAGTGGATATTTTGACATATGTGGTCTGGAAGTTGAGTGGATTTCCGCCAAGTCGTATAATAGGAACTGGTTGTAATCTAGACTCTGCCCGTTTCCGTTATCTAATTGGAGAGAAGTTGGGTGTCCATCCCACAAGCTGCCATGGTTGGATTATTGGAGAACATGGTGATTCTAGTGGTAAGTACAAGCCTATTATCATTATGTAGTCATAATTATCATTATATAACCTATCACTAATGGTGTTTATGTTCTTCAAAGTATTTTCTGATATTATATAGTTGCCTGATTTTTGTTTTATTCTATTTTCTAGTGTATTTTTTTATTTCTTTACTTTCAGTCTTTTGAGTCATTGATTTAGTTACCTCATAAATATGCAGAGAGCACATAGCTGTTTGAAAAAGTCAAGTGTTTTCCTTATCTGAAGACCTTACTGTGTTTTAAAACCACAGTTTTAATTTTTTTAAACATTTATTTATTTATGCATACAAGAACTGGGGTGCAAGCCAGAAGTGTGGGGGTGTGAGAGGATTCACAAGATAGTGGGAAGCAGAACAGGCAGAGATCTACTGAAATACACTGCTGAGGGAAGCAACTGGTGAGATAGGAGAGGTCTGCTGCGCCATGTGGGTTGCTCCCTGGCTGGCCAGGGATTGAACTCATGCTGCAGTGGCTGCTGACAGCTTCATAGGTTGTGTCCCAACCCCTTGTGCCACCAGGGAGGCCCCAGGTCTTGTATCTTAACTCAGGTCTTCTGAAAGTCATTACAAATAATTTTTCCAGATATGTTTTAATTTTTCACATTTAATATTTTATGATTTTATTTGTAAAAAAAACAGAACATTTTGGTTAGTATTAATGAATATTTTGGATTGTTAGAAAAGTCATGACATATTTTTCTATTTTTCAAGCAAAAATGCATCATGATTTTTTTGACAACCCAGTATTTATTTCTTAATTAATTTTTTTATTTATATCTTTTACATCATTGTGTATTCCCTGTAAAATTCCCACCACCAACTCACCTGTGAACCATCACTTTAGTCCCCTGTGCTCTTCTGTACCTTGTTTTGATCCCTTTCCTCTCCCTCCCTCACAGAATGTCTCTGATTTATGGTTGCCTGCTAATTTTTTTTATTACTCTTTTTTTCCTGATCCCTATTCGACAACCCAATATTTAATACTCCTCTTAGTGAGATTTTCTTATACTTCTCTTGTTTTTTTCTGTTTTTCTGTTGAGTTAATTAAACTTTAATTTTGATTGTATACTCACTTTTTACATGATTACCTATAAATTTTAATATTCATATTTAACCTAAAAATTATAAGTGCCTTTTCCCTCTTTGGAAAAGTACATTGATCTTAGAATGCTTTAAGTTTGATCATACTCTTTCTGTCATATATGTAATTATAAGTTACATATCTGGTTTTCTCCTATTTTTATATCCCCCTCACTAAATTTAATTATTATTATCATTATTTATTTTTTGTGGGACCCTCGCCAGCGGCCGAGGAACAAACCGGCGCTGCAGAGGCTGTGGGCAGCCTCGCAGCCCAGCTCTCACCAGCTGCGCCACCAGGGGAGGCCCTAATTTTAATTATTATTATGTAATTAGTCAGTACCTGTTTTGACTTGTGTTAATGTTTCCCAGTTTTATTGCTTGTCTTTATAGCCTGCTTCTAACTCCTTCACCTGGATTCTATTCTATTCTTCTTGAAGTACATACTGTTAATTTTTTTTTTTTAAATGGGATATTTTAGTTTCTCCTTATTTCTGAAAGACAGTTTAATTGCTATAAGACTCTAGGTTGACAGTATGGTATTAATTTCTTCCTCTCTTCCCTCTAGTTGCTTATAATATTTAGCCCTTTCTTATGAATTATTCTCTTTGTGGATTCTGTACTTGTATGTTGTTTTAAAATGCCTCCTATACCACATCATTATAAATAAATTATACTACATATATTCAACACTTTATAATTTTATTTCTTACATTTGCCTTTTTGGTCCAGTCGAAACTTTTTATATGTAGTGTAGAGTAGTAACCTAACTTTATAAAAAGACCCACTGAACTCAGTAACTGATGTGGTTCTGTAACAGGGTGGTTCCCAGGGAAAGGGGAGATTTCAGTTCTCTGCCTCACCCAAGGGAGGGTGGAGCTGAACAGGGAGAAGGAGAAGCTGGAGAGGAGACAGGAGGAAGGAAGAAAGAAAGATAAAGAGCCAGGAGGAGACCTGGAGGAGGTACATGAAGCAGAGAGATATGTGAAGAAGCTGCGCTTTCTTCTTGGTCATGGACTGGGTGACACAAACGTGGGTGAAAGGCCCGTGGGGAGGTTAACAATGGCAGTTTTTATCTTGATTTTGATTTTGCTCCTTCTGTCCCAGACATGTTGGACTCCTTCTGCCCCTTTCTTACGAGTCCCCACAGGTGGTGCCTTAGACTTGGGGCAGGTTTCTGGCCTCAGTGGCCTGGCTTTGGCCTACCCTGTTTGGCTGGGCACTTACCCACGAGGGGATGGGGAACTTCGGGTGCTTGATTTAGAAACTCTATTCTTTCCCTTAACTTTATTGCACACTAACTGTATTAAAGTTCCTTCCCATTAAAGGCCTTACACAATAGGGCCTCCCTGATGGTACAAGGGGATAAGCACTGCACTGTGAAGCGGTCCGCAGCCTCTGCAGCATGAGTTCGATCCCTGGCCAGCCAGGGGGCAACCCACCTGGCGCAGCAGACTGCTCCTGTCTCACCTGCTGCTCCCCTCAGCAGTGTATTTCAGTCAGTCTGCCTGTTCTGTTCCCCACTCTGTCTCTGGTGATCCTCTCACCCCCCACATCTCTGGCCTGTACCCCAGCTCTTGTATGCATAAATCTTTTTTTAAAAAAAAGGCCTTACACAACAGAGTATGTTTTGACTTGATGCAACAGATGGCAGAACCTATTTAGAGCAGGCAGGTTTGGGGGTTCTGGGGTGCCTTGCATGCTTACCTGTAATAGTACTGAGAAGAGTTCATTCATACATATATATGTATATATATTTGTATCTATGTGTATATACATATATGTATATATACATATACACACAACCTTTTTTTTTTTAAAGTTTTTTTTTTTTTTTTATTTATACAATAGCTGGGGTACAGACCAGAAGCACGGGAGGGTGAGAGGATTCACCAGAGACAGAGTGAGGAGCAGAACAGGCAGATGGACCGAAAGCACTACTAAGGGGAGCAGCAGGCGCGACAGGAGAGGTCTGCGGTGCCATGTGGGAATCTTCCTGGCCAGCCAGGAATTGAACTCGTGCTGCAGAGGCTGTGGACAGCTTCACAGCGCTGTGCTCAACCCGCTGCGCCACCCGGGAGGCCCACATACAACCCTTTAAAATTGTGATAATACAGGTTTTGCAACACTATGTTTTAGGTATAGAGTTTTTACCTTGAGATCTACTTCTTTCAGTGCCCTTATGGAGTGGGGTGAATGTTGCTGGTGTTCCTCTGAAGACTCTAAACCCTCAATTAGGAACAGATTCGGACAAAGACCAGTGGAAAAATATTCATAAACAAGTTGTTAACAGGTAATAGAATTCATTCAATTTCTTAATGCCTTAAAGTTTAAGAACAAATTTCACAGACAAAAATACTGAGTCCACTTTGATGGCAGTGCAAAAATATAATACATATTTATTGTAGAAAATAAGAAGATTCAGAAAAGCAAAAATAGATAAGACCACTTATAAGTCTATCACTCAAAAATTAATCACTATCAATTTCTTTATGGAGTAATGTAATTCTGAAGTTCTTATAAAAAATGTATATTTTTTACAAGTCTGAGATAAGAAATTGCATAACTAGGACTTAGCTATTTTCCTTTGAAAATGTATCATAAGCATTTCCCATGTTTCTATAATTGTTGATTTAATGATATATTCATAGGAAAAATGTACACATGACTTACAATTATATAAAGTTATGTTGGTACCCTTGTAACAATTTTAAGTAGTCAGATATATATGCGGTAGCTATCAAGGTGATCATATTCTGTATTTGGATATATAAGCAGCAATACAAAAAAGTTAAAGCTAGTTTCATCTTGAGTGGCACAGTTGTTCTAGTAATGTGCCTTTTTGATAAAAGAAGGGTGAATTAATAAAGTGAATAGTGAGGTTTATATGTTTATAATAAGTACAGAAACTGTGATCGCATATTCATAAATAATTTGAAAAATACTATGTTTTTCTGAGTTCTCATGAATTTTGTTTTTTCTATAATGGTAGTGCCTATGAAATCATCAAGCGGAAGGGGTATACCTCTTGGGCTATTGGATTATCTGTGACAGATCTGGCAGAATCAATATTGAAAAATCTTAGGAGAGTGCATCCAGTTTCCACTATGATTAAGGTAGACTTAAGTTGAATCTTCATGTATCATTCTTTCCTTTAATACTTATCAAGTCCATACCGTATGCCAGGCATTATACATGTTGAAGATACAATGGTGAATAAATAAGCTAGAGGCCCTGAAGTCATAGTTTTTAATGAAAGAAGTAATCTTAATAAAACAATTAAAAAGGTTAATATGTGATAACATTATGCCAAGTGCTATGATGAAAAACTACAAAATGCTAAGAAAAGTTAACTGCACTTGGATGGGGGCCATTGGTGGTGGTTAGGAGAGGCTTACTATGACAGAAAAATGTGACCTAATTGGAATAATGAATAGGAGTTAATTTGGAGAGCCCTAGAAATGATGAGCGGGAAGCTTGGCTGAGTAATGCCTGTGTGTGTTGAGCTATCATGGGAAGCTGAGAAGCACTGTTCTAGACTCAGAGAGTCTTTTATTTTTTCATTGTTAGTTCCTGACAACTTTATAATCAGACTTGGAAAAAAACATTACCTTCTAGTCACCTCCCCTAGCCCTAGTCCTAGACTCAAGGGAGGTGTGATGAACTGCTGAGCTGTCTTATCTTCCCCCTTCCATATGGAGGGGGGTGAAGGCTCACTTGTAGGTATGTTTGCATTGTGTGCCCAGACCTTTATAGGTTCTGGTAACTGCTTGTATGGCCTTGGCTCCAGCTACAGTGTTGGAGGGAGCATAGTGGGGTTGCGAAGGTTTCATATGCACAGGATAGGGCAGTGGTCATGGCTGCACCTACTCTATGGTGCTGTCCATCATGGGAAGTCCTGGATAGAAGTCAGGTGGGGACAATAGAGGGTAAGGAATATATTCCATTGTCTGCTGGTGGAAGATAGACACAGACCCTGTTGTGTACCCATAGGCTCCATTATAGGCTTGACCTCTGGAGACGGGAGATGATGCTTCCTATACCATTCTTTGCCCAAACTCAATGGTGCTCTCTGCTCTAGAGATCAACCTGTAGGAAACAGAACCTCTCCAATTACTTCCTGCTTCAGACTTCACTGTTCTGTTGATGTGAAGTTTACACCAAACATAGGCTGCTTGATTTCACAACCTTCCTTAGATAAAATAGTATCATGAAGGACTGCACGATATCCTTTCTGTTGGACAGAAAGATGGCCCAGTAAATGATAGACAGTGCTATCCTTGTTCCTGTTGAGGCCCTTTGATGTTCTTCATGTCATTGAGCACAAGTTCCACATGTTCATAGGACAGCAGGATGAGGATGCTCTTGGCATTATCTATGATCACTCTTCGGCTCTCTGAGTAATTATTATTGAGCAGCACCGTTTCTCTGATATATTCTTTTTTTAAAAAAAATATTTATTTATGCATTTAAGAACTAGAGTACAGGCCAGAAGTGAGGAGGATGAGAGGATTCCATCAGAGATAGAGTGGGGAACACAACAGGCAGATCAACTGAAACAACACTGCTGAGGGGAGTAGGGGGCGAGACAGGAGAGGTCTGCTGCGCCATTGTGGGTCACCTCTCTGGCCAGGGATCGATCTCATGCTGCAGTGGCTGTGGATAACTTCATAGCGCTGTGGCTTAACCCCTTGCGCCACCAGGGAGGCCCCCTTTCTGGTATATTCTAATTGTGAAGTTCTTTTTTTTTTGTTTTGTTTTTGTTTTTGTTTATTTAATACATTTATTGTTATAGTCCAATGAAAAATTTCTAGTTTTGATATGAAGACAATTCAACAAGTAAAATAATTGTGAAGTTCTTGCACAGCTGCTTTGTCATGTCAGGGTACTGAACAATAATCTAATTTTGCCTTTCAGGATTTATATGGAATAAAGGAAGAAATATTTCTCAGTGTCCCTTGTATCTTGGGGCGAAATGGTGTCTCAGATATTGTGAAAATTAAGCTGAATTCTGAGGAGGAGAATCTTTTTAAGAAGAGTGCAACCACTATTTGGAATGTCCAAAAAGACCTGATAATTTAAAGCTTTTTAATGTCCCACTGTTTTAAAATGAGATAGCAGACTGTGTATTTTACACATTGAAAGTATTGCATATAATCTGTCAAAAATAAAAGACAAACACTGGAACCTATGACATAACTCCAGTCTCTGAAAGCTAGAAAAGTGAAATGGCAAGAGATTTCCCTTCTTTATGAGTCCTCTACTAGCTCTATTGCAATGAACCCAGCCTGTACTTATGTAAGGTATACTTTTGAGTGTATCATATATGTAAGAGTTGCCTTCAGGCTTGGCAGAATATGTCTAATAATTCATTATAATATAGAGCTTATGGTTATTTTCACAAAATAAGTACTTTTTAGGATATTGAATTTTCATCTTGTGTTTTTTCCATTAGGGCACCAACATTCAGTTTATATTGCTTCATTAATTTTATGTGCGTAGGTATAATCTTGACTAAGTACTTATTTTAAACATCAAGTATATCAGGAAGAAAATAGAAATACAACTTTATGGTGCAAAAATAATCTTCAACTCTGCAAGAATTATACCAGTTCATGTAAATTCAAATACAGTTGGTTTGGTATCTGTTGAAATAACAGAGATGCTTCGACCATCCTCTAGGTCATTTGTTCTGCAAACTACTATGCTTGCTGTGGCATGGTTATGTGATCAGTACCATGTGATTTCTGCCCTCAGTGTTTCCCAGTGAGTATTTAAGGTTCCTCAATCAATTGATTAATGATGAGTGCTTTGTCACAGTTAACTGGCACCTCCTTTATGGTGTCCAGGGTTCATGTAAATATCTCACACACACATATAACACATAGGCAGTATTTCCTTGACTCCATAAAATTTGAGGCAGCTACAGAAAATATGCAATGAAACAAGTAAGAAATCAGGACCAAGGTAACTTACAAATTTACATCAAGATAGCCTCAGTAGGAAAAATAAGAGGCAGATATGCAGGCCTTGAGACTTTACAGGACTGGTGGACGTGTTGTACTATTCAGTCAGTCAGGGTTCACCTCTGCTATTCTTACTGTCTTAATAGCTTGCTTTCTAGTCATCTTCTATTTAAGATGATTAGTTTCCCATTATTTTGTTCTTTTTCCTTGTTTTTCAATTCTTCCCTTGAATGTGCAAAATATGGTTTATGAGTAAATTTAAGTTAGAATGAGGAGAAAGGTTGCATTTTCTGTGGATTTTGCCTTTTTTTATAGCTCCTTTTTGTACACCAAGTTAAAACTTCATTTTAGGGAACCCTTACAGAGATTGAAAGACTGTAAAATACAGTTTTTACGGGAACGTTATAGGACTTAAAACTGCTTTACATCCTGTATTCTTAGCAATGCAACATTGTCTCCAAGGAGTGAAAATTCATTTTTGGTAGGTGACAAAAACTTAGATATTACAAAGTTTTGGCTCTCCAAACCTCAAACCTACCAGACACAATCTTATTCCTTAATACTTAACAGTGAGGGGCAGGGGAAGAGGGAGCCGAATGATTGGGGGGAAGATGCCTAAAAAGGCTCTTGAGGGAGAAAGAATTTAAAAAAAAAACACTGCTAAACATAAAATAATTTGTCAGATATGTGCATAGAGAAGAAAGGATATTAGTTTCCCAATAAAACACCCCAAATCACATAACCCAGCCAAATAGGGTTGGCTTTATCTGGGACTGCTGATTCCTGAAGGCTTGCCACAAGTGTAAAGTGACTGCTGGTGGAGAACCACAGGAACGAGGTTCTGAAGCAGATCACAGAAAGTTGGGCCAGAAGGAGATACCACATCAAGATAATGGCTGCTACTGTCAGACTCCACGTGTCTCAAGTGTCTCTGCTTTTGTCTCCTCCATGTCTCCTTTCTTGTCTTCTTCCCTCAGAACCAGGGTGCAAATCCAGTCTCAAGAACAAGAGAGCTCTGGCCTCACACATATTCAATTATATACCAAGTATGGCTGCTTGACCTCTCATATGCTTCATCTGTCTTTATGCAGCAATTGGTAGAAAGTCTGGTTTAGGCACTGTAGGGTAAATGATTTTCAGGCTTTTCTGCCCTACTGCCATTAGGATTGATGATGGATCCCTGCGATCCTGAATACATGCCTGATGGCGGGTACCTGGAGTAGGTTGTGGGCATACATAGGTGAGATTCACCTGGACTGAGACGAGACTTATAAGGCGTTGTCCGAAACAGAACATCAGAAGAACAAGTGAGAGAAAGGAACCAGCAGAGAAACAGAGGCCAAGAGAGAACATGTGAGATAGCCCAGAAAGCATAAAGATTGGCCAGGGGCTAGGAGGCCTGCCAGCCTCCTGCCAGCCCCCCCCCCCCACGCCCCCCGCAACCCTGCCTGCTGTGTACCTGGCAAATCCCAATAAAAGCCTGCAAAAGCCACCGAGGGCTCCAGGACTCCTCCATCACCTGTCTGCTCGGATCCTAGAGAACCTGCTCTATGCCATTCCTGCTGCTACAGGCAGCTTGGGACTTGTGGCCTGGTACTTGTGGCCTGGGTGGCTGAATGTAAGCCAGATGGGGAACATGGCACCTCCCCTTAAGAGGGGGGGAACAGATGTAACTGAAAGGAAGAGAAATAGAAAACCACAGTTTATTATGGGATAAGGGGAGAATTTTGGATTTTACATTTAATGACTTAATGAGTTTTCCTTCCGCTTGTGGAAAGGGTTATCAATTAGCACTGATAAAATTTTCTAGGGTTTCATACATTATTTTAAATTTCTCTTCGCATAGAGAGCTTTAAAATGTTTATTTTTTCTATGACAGCTTCCATTTGTGGGTGGTAAAAAGTAGCTTGAGGTCCCTTTCTCCTGTAGCCCTGGCGAAAATTTCCCAGCCATAAGCCCAAAAGCCCTTACTGGATACATTCGGACAAGGTTTGGTTACACATAAATTTACTTTGGCACTGGGATGGATAGGTTCTGGGCAAGCAGTACTTTGAGAACAGTGGTCCACCTGCTGCACCTGGTATGCTTGCAGACCAAGGATTCATCTGACCTGGCCAAGCACAGAAAGCTCCACCCTCCCTCGTGGGCGAGTGACTGGCCACAGGTGCAGGCCTCAGAGCCCGCCTCCTGGCCTTGAGCCAGCGCCAAATGTGATGGGCCTCCACGGGCCTCCACAGCTGGGCGTGGCCTTGCACAGGTGCGGTTGTGGAGGCCGGGGTGCGTCAGTCAACGGAACCCCCCCACCCCCACCCCAGTTTCTATCAGCTTCCTGCCGTTTCACTCCATTTTCTTCATTTGCCTCTTGAGTGGACATGAGCAGGACTGCAGGAGTCATGCAGCATGGCAAGAGAATAGGTGCCAAGGGAGTGAATTTCTTTTGCTCGAGGATGACTGTGTCCCCTCCAGGCTTCATCCCACCGCCTGGGCTGGCCTTACCCCTCCGAGAGTGCGGTGGGAAGCGCCTCACGCCCGGCGGCTCTCCACCCTGGGCCCAGGGCACCTGAGCTTGATCCTGGAGCTAATCGTTGGGGAGGAGAGGAAGGACGGTGGTAAGAGGCAGGATGGCCAAGCGGGGTGTGGGACGGAGAGCGGGTCAGCTGTGATCAATTTTTTTTTGGCCGAGCAGCCCCTTTGCCTTCCTTCATCCCTCGTTACCCACCTTACCAGTATCCCTCTTCCTCATCCCTTTGTTTCGCCTCTTGGGTGCTGCGCTGCTGGCAAGAACTTAACCAGCTTCTTTGCCAGTCATCTTTGGCATTCCCTGGTGTGTCTGCAGCCACTGGACTTCCCAATGTGCTCCTCGCTACCGAGCGATTCCACAGTGGGAAGCGGCTGTGCGGGTTTTCCTTCACTTTGCTGGGTCTCCAAGATGGCGACCGTGAAGCGTCACCTAGTCACGAACCTCACTGCAGAGAAGGCCGTTCATCATCCTGAGATCTCCATGATAGGAACTGGATCGGTCGGGCCGGCTTGGGCAGTCAGCATCTTATTAAAAGTAAGTTGTGCCCCGACATAGGGTTAACCAGTTTTTTCTTGGTTGGAGGCAAGGATAATGCGTAAGTTTGTGCAAGTTTCAGGGAATGCCAGAAGGCGGAGGGGTGGGGTGGGATCGGGTGGAGTGGGGTGGCTGGGTGTAAGGGCAGAACTGGGCACAGGGCAGGTTTTCCGATCCTATGCAGACCGGGTAAAGGAGGAGTCAGAGTCCTCAGTAGTTTTGCAGGTTTTTTATTTGGGGTTCACCAGGCATATGGCAGGCAGGGGTGCTGGCCAGCCTCCCAGCCCCCAGCAAGTCTTCACTCTATCTGGGCTCTCTGGCGTTCTCTGCTTCTGCTTCGGCTTCTCCTTCAGGTTCTGCTGCTGCTGGCTGGGGCTGCTGGCGTCCCCCTGTGACGCCGCCCTTAAAAAAGCACAGTCTTAGCTCAGCTGAATCCCATCTACCTATGCCCACACCCTACTCCAGGTGCCCGCCATCAGGCATGCATTCAGGACCACAAGGATCCATCATCTATCCTGATGGTGGAAGGGCAGAAAAGCCTGACATTTTCTTTACCCTACACTGGGAGTGGGGGTAGGGCTGCTGGCTTAGCTCAGAGCAACCCTTTCGTAAATTGTGGTAGAAGAAAAGAGTGTGATAGGTGTCCTGCTAGTACCAAATGCAATAACCTTTTTCTTTTAAACCTCTCTTTTCAATTTCCTAGTTTGTTTCCCTTCTTTATTCATGTTAGGTTAGTTTTAATGTTGTTCTTAGGGTTGGTGTAATTGATCAAGTGAGCTTCCAGTATAATGGCTACAGGGCTACAAAGATTCTGATCTCTTTGTAAGAATATTACCCTAATCTGAACCCATGATCTTTTAGTAAATTCTCTTTGAATTTTTGCTTTTAAAAGAATATCTGTAAAATTTCTATTAACTACTATCTATAATATTTACAGTTGGCATGGTTTATGTTGAGGCGATGTTAAGTGTCCTTAAAGCACTAGAAGTTTCTCCTGTTGTGGATGGCTGCTCCTGGCAATCATGAATACCGCACAGCTCATTATGTCCTACTAACTATGGTGCCTTTGTCAGCTGTGTCCTCACTGCTAGTGAAGCGTACACATACACTAAGCCAGTGCATTTCTTCCAGCATTGGTAATAACGATAACAATATGCCTTTAAAGTACATTATGTAGTACAACCTTAAAAAGTAATTATTATATTTTGGGGGCCTCCCCAGTGGCGCAGTGGTTGAGCGCTGGATTGCGAAGCTGCCCGCGGCCTCTGCAGCGCCGGTTCGATCCCCGGCCGCTCCCCGGCCACCAGAGGAGGGTCCCACATGGCGCGCAGACCTCTCCTGCCGCCCGCTGCTCCCCTCAGCAGTGTACTTCGGTCCTTCTGCCTGCTCTGCTCCCTGCTCTGGCTCTGGTGAATTCTCTCACCCTCCCGCGCTTCTGACTGTACCCAGTGCTTGTAAACATAAACAAACAAACAAATAAATAAATAAAAACATGCCTCTATAAAAGAAAGAAAAAAAATCATCTATATAAAAAAAAGTAATTATTATATTTTATAGATGGGAAAAAAAGGCACTATTTCAGGTTGTATGAATAGATAAGTATATACAGAGCATTTTAAGTAAAAGATTTGTCATTTTGCATTGAAGGGCCTTTCTGGGGAGGGATTAAGCAATAACCCTAAAAAAAAAAAAAAAAAAAAAAAAGAGATTATAGCCACAACCTCCTAGAACTTGAATTCTATGGTGTTGCAAACTATACCATTTGTGTATCCTAGAAGACTGTGTACAATCCCTTTACAAAGTCCAAGGCTAACTTTAATCTCTTCTTCATCTGATCCTAGACTCTGCTACTTCTTTGACTTAAGGAGTTGGTAATACCTTCAAAGCTCCTTGGTGACAAAGAAGGAATTCTCAGTAAGAATTGTTTTTTTAACTTATCTGCAGGAATTTATGATACCATTCTAGTAGAGAAACAGCAATGCTTTGGAAAATTACTGAATTATATACCAAAATACAAAACTTTTATTACTATGATGTGATATCCATGGGGCAGGAATGTTTGTCACTGAGTTTTGTATACTGAGTCTGGAGCAGTGCTTAGTGTACTGGAGATCTAGTAGTTGAATAAAAGAATTGCTGAGGGCCAATGCATCTAGGGAAAAGGACTGAATAGTAGATACAGAGATTGAATATTCTGCTCACCGTCCTTTTTTATTAAAGATTTATTTATTTATGCATACAAGAGCTAGGGTATAGGCCAGAGGTGTGGCGGGAGGGTGAGAGGATTCACCAGAGACAGAGCGAGGAACAGAACAGGCAGACTGACTGTAATACACTGCTGGGGGGAGCAGTGGGCAAGACAGGAGAGGTCTGCTGTGCCATGTGGGTAGCTCCCTGGCTGGCTGAGATTGAACTCATGTTGCAGTGGCTGCAGATAGCATCATAGGACTGTGCTTAACCCCTTCGCCACCAGGGATGCCCACATTTTTATATATTTAAAAAATACATTTTTATGGGCCTCCCTGGTGGCACAAGGGGTTAAGTTGCAGCATTATGAAGCTATCTGCTGCCACTGCAGTTTGATGGCCGGCCAGGAAGCTGACCCACATGGCGCAGCAGACCTCTTGTCTCGCCTGCTGCTCCCCCAAGCAGTGTATTTCAGTAGATCCGCCTGTTCTGTTCCCCACTCTGTCTCTGGTGACTCCTCTCATTCCCACCCCCGTTAGCCTGTACCCCAGTCCTTGTATGCATAAATACATCTTTTTAAAAAATAAAAAATACATTTTAATGATACATATTTACAAGTACCTTTTTTTTGATTGTGGTACTTTTGTCATTCAGTTCTAAATATTTTGCAATTCTGTTTTATTTCCACTTTAACTCAGTTATAAGTGTATTTTTTAGCTTTGAAACATTAAAAAATTGTTTTGCTGTGGTTGATTCTAACTTAAAATGAGATGAGAAATGTGGGTTGTTTTTTGAAATCTGCGTCAGGCTTACTTTGTACCCTAATTAAACAGAATTTGTAAATGTCCCACATATATTTGGAGAAAAGTGGACTTTATTGGGCATAAAGATCATGTCACAATTGTATTGGTTTTGCCAAATTCCTCATTTTTAATAATTACCATCACTTTATGATGTTAAAATTGTCTGCTATAATTATGAATCAAATCCCCCTTTGCAGTTCCCAATTTTTGAGTTACTTTTTGAAAAAGATTTATACAAGAACTGGGGTCCAGGCCAGAGATGCAGGAGGGTGTGAGAGGACTCACCGGAGACAGAGCGGGGAGCAGAACAGGTAGATGGACTGAAAACACTGCTGAGGGGAGCAGCGGGCATAACAGAAGAGGTCCACCTCGCCATGTTGGTATCTCCTTGGCTGGCTGGGAATTGAACTGGCACTGCAGAGGCTGCGAACAGCTTCACGGGGCTGTGCTCAATCCACTGCGCCACCGGAGAGGCCCATTTTTGGAGTCTTGCATGTATTATTATCTAGTATCTATTTCTATCAATGTTCTTGTTGAAAATTTTGTTTGCTGTTACTATAGCTACACTGACCTTTTGGCTAAGTTACCATTTTTTTTAATTCAGTAAGAAAAAAAAACTCTGATAAAGCTGATGTTTAAAAACAGTTCATGTACCCTAAACATGCCAAAAAATTTCACTTGCTTATTGGGACTAGATCTGTTTATATTTTACTTAACAATGACATTCTGTCTACACTTTTTTTTTCTTCTGTTGCTTATTAGCTAAGCTTTTTAAGTGGTTATTTTCTGAGAAAAAAAAATTAAAAGATAAAGAAGTTATTCATGATTGGGCCTCCCCGGTGGCGCAGCGGTTGAGCGCTGGGTTGCGAAGCTGCCCGCAGCCTCTGCAGCGCCGGTTCGATCCCCGGCTGCTCCCCGGCCAGCGGAGGAGGGTCCCACATGGTGCGCAGACCTCTCCTGCCGCCCGCTGCTCCCCTCAGCAGTGTACTTCGGTCCTTCTGCCTGCTCTGCTCCCTGCTCTGGCTCTGGTGAATTCTCTCACCCTCCCGCGCTTCTGACTGTACCCAGTGCTTGTAAAAATAAATAAATAAATCTTTAAAAAAAAAAAAAAAGTTATTCATGATTGTCAAAATTTATAGATTGAACTTACTGTTTCTGCACAACAGTCTATGTAAGAACAAAAGAACAAAAGTTTTTTAATTAGAAAAATTTTATTGAAGTAACAATTGTTTGTAACATACAGGTTTCAGGTGTATAGCATTATAATTTCACATTTATACATACATTATGACCACCAAAAGTGTAGTTTCCATCATTCACCATACATTTGACCCTTTTGCCCTACGCACCCACCCCTCCCATTTTTAAAAAGAATTTATTTCTATCCGGTGGATATGTTGGAATTGTGGCATAGCTGGAGTTAGATAGAGATCCATGTTCTCCACACACACAAACCACATCAGATTTACCAGTTTTAATTTAAATAAATCTGAAAAAATGTATTTTAGATGTGAACTTTTTCTGACGTGAAGTTTTCTTCTCAAGGGTATCTTAACCTACATAGTCTGGAAGCTGAGTGCATTTCCCAAAATCTGTGTCATTGGGAGTAGCTGTACATCTGGACACTGCCCTTTTCCGTTTCTTTATTGGGCAGAGGCTTGGTAGCCACCCTGAAAGCTGCCATGGGTTGGTCCATGGAGAGCACGGAGACTCAAGCGGTAAGTCTAAAAACACCAACCAGCTGTACATGCTCTCTGAAATACATTTAGACCTTATTGATCATTCAGCTATTTAATCATAAAGTAAAATATTTCTCCTGGGTGGGGGGAAAGGACTTCTGTTCTTCTTAAGCCCTATTAGTAGTGTTATAATTTTTAAACATTTTATAAGAATATCATCTACCAGAAATACAAATTTGAAATAATGAGAACTTGTTACTATAATCTTACCATGATGGTTAAAATGATATCAGACTTTCTTAACACAGTCCTAAGTAGTATAATGCAGTTTATATTTTACTGGGATACTCTAGTGTATCATTCAAGTAACAGGAATTCTTTAAATTAACAAGAAAATTCATTTGCATGGTGATAGCTTCTTTATTTTCCCCTTCATTTCTTCTGGCTAAGAACTCTTGAAACCCCCCCTAATACCTATACCCTGTTCTATATGAAAAAGGACTTGAAGTGATAAAAAGTTTAAAACTGTCACTGTCTTATTGGGAAAATCTCTGCTAAGATGATAGAATTGTCTGCCTCATCCATGGAGATTTTAATTTAGCAGGATTTGGGGTGGAGGGTTATAGACATCTGAATTTTTTGTTCAGTTAACATTCCTAGT